TTTTTTTTTTTTATCTTCTTCTAGTTGAGCTTTGATCATCAAGCCATCGAGGCTAGGTCAAATGGGTACTATCTGAAAGTTTGGTCATTCTTGTGTGTCTCCCCTCACTTCATATCAGCTAGATGCTTTTCTCTCAGCTCTAGCCCTCCATGGCTATGTCTTTGTCGATAGGCTCAGGAGTTCCCAGGTCTCACTACACTTTGGACCAACCAGTCCTTCCTCTTTTCTCTGTCATCTCCAGGTCAACAGGAGTCTATGGAACATGGTTGAACTCAGTCCATTTCTTCATTCCTGCCTTTCCCCCTCTTCCACTCATCAGTCGGCAATACTTAACAACACAACAACAATCAAGAACATCACTTTCTGCACTGTTGTGATCTACTGTGCAATATATTTATGCTTATGTCTGTACACTAATGACTGAAAACCTGAAGAGTTATGTGGTTCATTTCATTTTCAACAACTTTCAATTTTCCTAGATTCATACTTCATGCCTAAGGGTTTCAGTGGCTAACTGTTGAGAAGTAGTCTGCCTTTCCTTTTTCCTCATCTGTCTTAACTGGAAGCTCACCTAAAACCTACCCACTGTGGTTGACCCTGCTGGTATTTAAAATACCAGTGGCATAGCTGCCAGCATCACTGCACCATGCAAACCACAACTGTATGACAAACTGACAGATGAGTGGTGGGAATGCTCCTTAGAAGCCAAAATGGTGACTTTGTCTCTCATAATCGGATGTGTTATCAGGAGGAACCAGTCCCTGGAGAATGACATCATGCTTGGTAAATTTAGAGGGTCAGCAACAAAGAGAAAGACTGGAACCAGATGGATTGGCTCAGTGGCAGCTGCAATTGGCTCAAGTTTGACAAAGATTGTAAGGATGGTGCAGGACCGGGCAGTGTTTCGTTCTGTTGCACATAAGTTCACTATGCATCGAAGGCCACTTGATGGCACCTAACAACAATGTCTGCACATATTCTCATTATTAGATTCCTTGTGTTTCAGTTTTACATCCAATAATAAATAAACTGTTTGATTTTAAAAGTGTTCATTTGTTTAAAGGGTAAAGGAGTGAACATAGTTTGTTGGATTATAATAACACTTGTGATGTCCACATTTAAGCGTCCTTTCAAACAATATATATTAAACATCTAATATTTTAATTGCATCCTGCTAGATTCTGTCCAATGTTTGGCACCATGAAGGCTGAGCATAAGTTGATTCTGTGTTGGATTCTTTTTTGGTTGTGTGAATATCTTTTAGACATGACCCAGTGCTTGTTTTAAGTGTTTTGTCAAGTATAAATGCTCACATACGTGCCCAAAACCCTGTCATGGTTTTATATATTATCAGGGCTTGTACATCTGCATTTTATGTACTAAAAAGATATAAGGGATTGTTTTCCTTTTTGTACCTGCTCATTCTTTTTTACTACATTTGTATGTGTGCACCAATATACATATGCTAACATTTGGGCAATGTTTTAAACGTAAAAGACCAAAGCACAAAGTTAAAATTATTTGCTTCTCTTCTGTTTTCTCTTACCATTTCAGATGATGGAAAATTATCCTTTGAGGAATTCAAAGCATATTTTGCAGACGGTGTGCTGAGTGGAGAAGACTTACATGAGCTCTTCCATACCATTGATACACATAATACCAAGTAGGAACTTTTTAATTATTGGATTTTATGAAGGAGATAGTCAGACAGGGAAAGCACATACGAGTTCATATGCCTATAGTAGAAAAGAAGGGAAAATATAGAATGTATGTTTTATAATGCTCAGCTAGATTTAAATCTGAGATTAATTGAAATGCTTTGAAAAACTGAATTTTCAATTGAAAAACAGTGATTTGTATGGATTTACCTAAAGTACTTTTAGATTCTGCTTTTGGCAGAAACAAAAACATAGATTGTAAATCAAACCTATTCTATCATTAATAAGTTTGCAGAATGTTGACTTTTTACTTAGGCTTCATATGAATTTGTTTCATTAAAAAATGCCTTGAGGCCATTCTTATACAGCAGAATTAAATAGCAAATTACAGCAGTTATCTGGGCAATACAGATGTGCTGAACTTGAAATCACTGTAACTGAGAGATACAGGTAATCCAGGAGGACACAGACGTTTATTCTGATAATCAATGTATACAGCAATCTATCTATTTCATTTATTTCACCTACATAGATCATCTTTTGCACTAGTATAGCATTTACAGTAACTTTATTTATATGTTAATAATTTTAAAACAAATAATGTGATATTTAGAATCTAGAACAGTAGAAATGTGCTGTTTGATTAGAGTAATCAAACCAAACAGATTGTGACTATTACAATTACAGAAAATATGATGTGAAAGAACCCTTCTAGCCATGCCTTAAGATCTGTCTGCAAATGTGCTGCCCCGAACAATTGCTATCTTGCTTTTAGTCAAGTGGTTAATGTTCCAGACAATGAGTCATCATGCCAAATGAATGTTCTTGGCTACATTTGATGCACTGACATTTTTAAAGGCAAACTAACTAATAAGAAAAACGGAAAGATCAAATTCACTTTTTTCAAGCAGCTGAATATTTGGGAAACAATCAGTTTATAAGTTTTCTGACTTTCAATTGGAGTTTTAAATTTCCTTTGAAATAGCGTAAGTTTTTTGTTGTCAAAAAGTTTATTGCTGGGTAACTATATTAGAAGTCCCACTTTCCAACAAATAGAGGAAAATATCAAATCCTGGTGCTGGTGGTATGTTGTTGTTGTTGTTAAGTGCCGTCGAGTCGGTTCCGACCCATAGTGACCCTGTATAGGGTTTCCGAGGGTGTAAATCCTTACGGGAGTAGAAAGCCTCATCTTTCTCCCGCGGAGCGCCTGGTAGTTTCAAACCGCTGACCTTAAGGTTCGCAGCCCGATTCGTAACCACTACGCTATAGCAGAACTTAATTACGATTTAGTTGAAAATAGACCTATTCAGTGGTACCTTCAATATTAATCATACATGCTACAGTTATGATATATACCCAACACTCTGGAGTCACAAAGAAGGGACTCTACTCAGGGAATGTTTCCAGGATCATGTGGCCAGAAACTGAATCTTTATGCCAAAACCTACT